CCCTATTTTTGATTCAAGAATCTAATAGCTGATGTCGAGAGCTTTCCAAAACGCTATAATGAAATATTATTTCATGAAGTACTTTTCAAGTTATAATCCTTCAAAGTTACAGTATCGCCGGCACTAGCATTACCCAAGATATGTAATACCACGCATTATGTTTTTGTTTGTGCGTTAACTGAAGATTAAGATTCACGGACCGATCTCGCTTTGACTGGCCAGTCTCCAAAATTAAATATTTTGGGTAATGCTAATGCCGGCGATACTCTAACTTTGAAGCATTATAACTTGAAAAGTACTTCATAAAAAAATATTTCATTATAGCGTTTTGGAAAGCTCTTGACATCAGCTATTGGATTCTTGAATCAAAAATAGGGTGTTCCATTTCAGAAAATCAATGTAACCTTGACCTGACCTTGGCTACGCAACCCAAGGTCAAACTGATAGGATCAGTAAATAGATATTTTAAAACCATATAACCTTTGTCTGAAATACTTTTCTGTAAAACTTACCTAAATTTCCCGAGGTATTTAGATGTCCCGACCTTTTCGGGACACCCTGTATAACGGGCTATATTGACAGATGAAACTATGATTCTAAGAGGATAATTGGTTTTGTGAATTTTAGTCAACCCATAAGCTCTTGGAGTATTACCTCGACAAAATCTAAATTGGACAACTTCCATATTAATGGAATACTTTTCATATTAATGACAAGATTATGTTTTCGACATCAGGATATGTTACAATTAATATATTCATTTTTTAAAGATTTTACAAATGTAACCGTTATTTATGATATATTTTTATGTAGATTGAAAATGACCCGATCGGAGTCGAAACGTTTGTAATATTATTATTTTAATTAAATTTGTTCATTTGAATACTAGTTCTATGCCCTTTTAATATTCATATTGATTTATTATTATGTAAATTACAAAGGCCGACAAAATTTCAAAAAATGAATAACCCAGGAACCAGACCATACTTTTCTAAAGGTTTTTAGTGCGCTGAATCCAAATCCGACCACAGAATTGATCCATCACCCTAGGTTTTCGAGATATCCTAACCTAAAAGTGCAAAAAACACGGTTTTTGGCTATATTCGGGTGGATATTACGTCGCGAATTAATTTTTTTTCTGAAATCTCGTTGCAGCATCTAAAAGTACTAATCTTACCATTCAAAACCCTTTTTGAATTTTTGCGATATCTTTTTTTGTCTCGGAGAAATCGTTGAATGAAAATTAGTACTTTAGCGTTTTCGTTCAAATCTTACAGTTAAAACACAACCGTACAATTCACACAGACGACGGTGCTGCACATGCGCATTGCGAACATTTAGGACTTTATACCTTTCTCTCTCGCACAGATGTTTGATCAGCGAGAACAATGGGAAGCATAGGCAATGCGCGTTCCATTAGTATATGTTCTAAGGTAGGTTTCATTAGTATATGTTCCTCATTGTTTTGGTAAGATTTGAACGAAAACGCTAAAGTACTAATTTTCATTCAACGATTTCTCCGAGACAAAAAAAGATATCGCAAAAATTCAAAAAGGGTTTTGAATGGTAAGATTAGTACTTTTAGATGCTGCAACGAGATTTCAGAAAAAAAATTAATTCGCGACGTAATATCCACCCGAATATAGCCAAAAACCGTGTTTTTTGCACTTTTAGGTTAGGATATCTCGAAAACCTAAGGTGATGGAGCAATTCTGTGGTCGGATTTGGATACAGCGCACTAAAAAACTTCAGAAAAGTATGGTCTGGTTTCTGGGTTAAAAATCTTGTCGGCCTGTGTTATGCTTATATTCATATTTACTTATATTTCTAATATATCATCAATACTTATGTAAATTTGTACATTTCGTTTAGATAAAATTTTGAAATACCTTATCATTGCATTAATATAATATTTGAAATATTATTTTAAACTCAGAGTTGTTTCATTGGTCAGTCAATGTATGTAATTCTAAGCCTTTGCGACTGTGCTTTTGAAGGTTTACTTTATAAGACAACCGTTGACGACCACCAAGCGTTGTAATGTATCTACATTTTCACGTTTATATACCGAGTAATGTTGTATCTACGTTTTCACGTTCATATATCGAACAATTCTCACAACCATCCACAACGATAGTGGTACATTCACAACGATGAATTTGATATATTATTATAATTTCTGGTCAAATCACATCACATGTTTTGTCAAGGTTTTGTCATTTAAATGAGTAGTTGAGTTTTAGATTGTGTCAAGGTTACCATTGAGAATGACCCAATTGGGGTCGAAACGTTTGTTACAATAAACTATTTGTTTTTTAATAACACGGCATTAAGACCTTGCTTTTTTTAGCTCGTAGACCTATTCTTGTTATATTAATTTTGTAAATTATTTGAGCCTTAGTTTTTATATTATTTATAATATTTTAGTTTAAGGCGAAAGAATAAGAAATAATATTAATAGTATTAAGAAATAATATTAATAATAGTATTAAATATAATACGTATTAACTACATATATATACTTACCGCATCGGTTTAAACAATGCCTGTATGTTGTCGCCGTAATCAATAACTAGTTTTAATTGTGTACCACCGTCTTTTTGAACTATAACAAAAATCATTTCATAAATTTTTAGATAGCACTTTTTGTAAGCATATTTAGCTAACATTTTATTTTATACTGCCTAGTACAAAACGAAAATTGATGTGAAACTATAACATTAATGATAATACATTTCTAAACATGTATATTGATTATATCAAATATCAAATACATATTATAATTAGTGTGGTTATACTATAGTACGTATAATTAATTATATAAGGTGAATATTTTAATGAATTATCCTAAATACTTCAATTATATTTTATCTTTTAAAAATATTTCAAATGGAATTTTCATAGTTTGAAGAGAAAGATAATGCATAAAACAAATTTTTTGTAATATGCATTTTTTAAGAAGTATTAATATGATTAATAGGCTTTCCTTTAAATGAAACCGTAGGCTTTTTTTTACATACATTTAATTCTCCTGCTCTCTAAAAATAAATCAATGTATTATTGCTAAAAAACGGTAAACATTTGTTGATGATTACATCAGTTATAAGTGTAGCAATAAAGTCACTGATTCACTTTAAGAGAATATTCTTTACATATAGATACAAATAATAAAATAATCTAATAATTAACAATTTTTTAAGAGATTGCATATTTTATATTGACATAAAATATTTTCTCGTTAATATCTTACTTTTTTATGCATATAAGGAAATAAATCGTTTGATATCAGACAAAATATAATTGAATTTATAAAGAAGAATGCGCGTTACTGTGTATATTGTAATTAAAATAATTCACAGAGAGATAATATTTATATGTTTCAACTAGTGATTTTTTTAAAAAGGAGAAAGAGAGAGAGAGAGAGAGAGCTCTTGTATCATAAAAAATCTTCAATAAGTAACGTGAATTAACAATAATTCATCGAGGATTCGTCGCGGTCAAATAATAAACCGTCCGTCGTCTGTGGTCTGAATTAAATATACAATATTCACGAGATTAACAGTCGGGACTCTGAAATCGATATATCTAGCGAAAAATAGAACTAGGTTTGTCCGAGTATGTCGCCATATTGTGAAAATATATTACTGAATAAGTATACGCGGCTATTAGCAATTTTGTGATCAGAAATGTGTATTAGATGTAATTATTAATCCAAATTAAAAATTAATACAAAATCAATAATAGGAAATCTGTGAATATTATGTAAAACTTATTATCTGTGTATATCTACATACAGGGTGTTTGATAATTCTACCGATAACGCTCGTGGGCAGATAGAGCGGACTAAACTGAATCGGAAAGTCCTGTACCATTTTGCAATTTTCGTGATAGTTAACAAGATATTATTTACTAAAAGTCGCTGAATATTGGTTTTCAATAATTTTTTACTCAAATACTATCAACTTTACAGAAAACAATGAGAGATAAAAATTGTTCATTTTCTTCTCATAAAGTTTTGAGAATTTTTTCAGAACTTTTTCAAAACTTTTTAGTACCGTTTTCTCATGTTGATAAAAATAATCTTTTTTAAAAAAAGATAAAAAAAAAAAGACGCCAAGTATACCTCTCATAAATCCATAAAAACTGTTACATAAAAACTAAAAAAAAACCGTTACATAAGTAATATAATTCAAGTGATAATATTGTTAATTTTTTATTATAAATTGTCCCTCAGTAGTAGGTATGCATGTATTAAAAAAGAAAATGAAATAAAATCTTTAAATTGCGCCAATTGCAAAAAGAATATATATTTATTTGCAACATATAACATATACTATTGTTCTTTGTAAATTGCGAAAAGAACATATATTTTATTGCAACAAATAACATTTAATTAACGAGAAAAAGTGATACGTATAATGTAAATACATTCACAAGAATAGGATGTAATGGGAAAATTTTTAAAATAATATAATATGTTGAGAATAGGACCGACAAGAATAAATCTAAATAAATACGAGAAATATCCGTTTCAGTCGAAATGGATCTTAGTGATTAAATACATACTTCTGTGTAAATGTAGGAGGCACGGCAGTGTCGCTTCGCGCAGCTTAGCGCCGAGACACTACCAGTGTCTCCAGATATACATTCAGATTCTGTATACCGCGCGCCGAAATCTTTTTTGGTTTTGAAACACATTTATCAGCACCAGAATAGTAATATAATTTAATAGCATACAAAAAAATATTAAATCGTACAAGCAATTTAATATTTTCTTTATGCTAATAAAAAAATTATTAAATTGCTTGTACAATTTTATATATTTTTTTATGTTAATAAGTATTTTTAGTAAGAATATCTACAATAAAATTAAAGAAAATTTTTAATATGCGAATGATTTATTGCGAAAAATATTACATCGATCAAGGATTTAACTTAAGGGAGCATTATTAGTCAGGAGGATGAAAAAGAAGGGATTTTTGGGAATTTTTAAATAAAAAACTAGGATTTTTTTTTAAATGCTTATTTCTTACTGTGTACATCTTAGACTACAAATCCTGTATTTTACATTTAAAAATGTGATGAATTGTGAGCGTGGTAGGTATTTTCTCAGGCGACTGTCGGCGACAAGAGGTTTGCGGTGACCATTATTACTCGGTTCTGGGTAATCTAAAATAAAAAAAAACAAAAATATTTATTTAATATATTCAATAATCTAGTCCTTGAACGAAGGATATTACGAAATAATAATATATAAAGAAGTTGCAGACATTTGAACGTGAATGTTCGATTTTCGATAAAAATTTTGTTCGTTTTTTGGTGAATATAAAAAAAACTGTTGAGCAAATTAAGAAATTCTTCGTTCAAAGACTAGTTTTTGACATCCTGAATAAATAAAAAAAAAATATTAAAAATCGGTTAAGTACTTTTTGAGAAATCGTGGTCACCGATTTCAAAAATTCTGTTTCGAGAAAAACGCGTTTAAAGTTTCAACTCATGACTACACTAATATAAACAATTAAATTTTTACCTTAAACGGAATCATCCACTCATATAGAAGACCTTCCGCAGCTGTAGCAGCACAGAAATTTCACTACGGTGACAACTGTCAAACAATTGGCAAGAAAGTAATTACGTTTTCTGCGATACTATCTATCAGTAAAAACCGCAATTACTTTTTTGCCAACCCAATAAAACGAGTTCATACCTGCTCGTGCGTAGTGCTGTTTACTACGGATTTTTATTATCGATGGATTTTCGATAGTCTCAAAAAACAATCGATAAACTATCGACTATTTTGAAAGCGCGCAAAATTTAAAGCCGTCCCCATCTAAAAATTATTAGACACACATTCCAAAATATACTGGAATAATTCAATTTTAAATTAGTTTTTAAATTATTAATTAATTATTTGAACTAAAAATAACTAATAATAATAACTAATAATAA